TCATGCTAAATACACGCTTCAAGAACGTTTGGTTATGATCGTAAAAAAGAAATTATCTTCTCAAATGAAGCTCATTTCTGCTTTAATGGGTAAGTTAAGGAACAAAATTGTCGTTTTTGGTATGAAAACAATTCACAGGAAGCCCTTGCATTTGCAAAAGGTCACTGTATGGTGTGATATGTGGCATAACGGGATCATCGACCATTTTGCTTTTCCAAAACGACAAAACGAGAGACAAGATATGCAGTTAAAATGAACTAGTGAATGATATAAATTGATGATAATAATTTTTTGTGGGCATAAAGGACACTGGTTTGGTAGGCCTATGTTTCCAACAAGTAGTTGAAGTGCCACACTGCTAGCCGTTATCGATATATGAAATATTGCAAAAATTGTTGATAAAAAAGATAATTTCGCGAAATGCAACTGTTAGTTGGCCTTTTAGAAGCTGTAGTTCAACCCTTTAGATTATTGGGTTATTTGAAATCAGTGGTCTATGCAAAAACCACGATCCCTTCAAGCATTAAGAATGAACATCGAACGTTGCATTTGCGACATCAAGCCCGAGTAATTTATTATGTAGTCATCGAACAGTGATTTCATCGAATGTGCTTGTATGCAACTAATTAGAGGTGGAACACTTAAATGATGTATCATTCAAAATAGAATGCCGTGAATAAAAAGTTTTGTTGTACCTGAAATAGCTTTTATTTTATATCATTATTTTATATCATTTTAAAATCATATCATTCTTAGTGGAAGACATATTATTAGATGACTAAGTAAAAAAGAATAAGATGCATTTATAGCAGCAGTACAATTGTTTCCTTAAATGGAGTTTTTATGTTTAACAATCGCTCAAAAATATCTAAGAAGATATTCCATAAACTAAAAATAAACTATTAATGCAGTATACTTTGCTGGAAGAAGTAAAGTTTGGAGTACTAATATCAAATCTTCGGTATTTAAAAAGAATTATATTGCGAACACAGACATTTAATTTGAAAATCATGTTTTATTTAATCTTCCGGTTTCATTCTCTTTATTGTTAGATACATAGACGGGGACCATAAATATGGATGCATTTAAAAATATCATATAAAATCGGCAAATTGTATTAAAGTACTTTTGCACTTATATTTTTATTCCACAAACAAAGATTTTCTTTGAGGGCATAATATATATTCGAGTTCAAATCACAGAACCTTTGCCATGAATATGAGTCTGTGCGTCCAATGACCTTCAAATCTCTGTTCCATTTGCGGTCCATTTTTCGGACGTTGGTGGGTAGATAGCGTATCCCTGGTTCACATCAGATGAAGGTAAATCAAGCATTCGTCGTGGTTAGGCTGAATCAGGACTAATCTATAACGAAAATGGTCCAACCGTCCTTTCTTAATTTCTATTCCTTTCCTCTCCTCTCCTCTCCTCTCCTAATATATGTTCCTTGTGGTATACACAAGAATACATCAAGGAGTTAAATAAGAAGTGGGACCGACTCCCGCTGATAATCACAAACTATCTTATTTCCAGAATAAAGTCACGTTATGAGAGCTATATGAATGTTAGAGAGGACTATACCTTCTAATAGCCTCCGTCTTCGTTTGAACTTGCAACTTCTGGTTTAGACTTTTTTGTGACGATGAGCCTTACGCATAATTATACATATATACCACGAGTGTTGTATGATCTATATTTTTGTATTATAACATTATGTGTACATACGAATTTCATTACAATTTGTCTGTCGTTTCTGAATATAATCGGCCAAATCTGAAAATTCTCTTGATTTTGAAAACCAGTGTATATAAAATGCAAGCAGTTTCCTTATAAGGTATTTTCTCCCTCTTTTAGTATACCTTCGTGGTGTAATTTGAATCTCATCAGCTAGCATTTGAAGTCCCGAGTTCGAAGAGGTCTTTGTTCGCTTTTTCACGTTTCCTGCTTCGAAATAAACATAATGCTTAAAGTAACTCACATTTACCGTTGACTCGCATTTTAGTTCGAGTGCCTATTATTGTATTTTGCGATTTTGTTGTTGAATCGAATTTTATATGGCGTAAACTCCAAGAACGCTATATTTAATAAATAAAGTTATCAGGACTTGTATTCCTCTTTACTTGCTTTGGAAACATGAACTGTCCTGACTCGGAACATGGAGCTTACTCAAGCTATGTTCAATAAATTGTGAAGTAGACAATACACACAGGAAGGGTATACGAAACCCTTTATTTTTCTATCTTTACAGAGATTTCCGGAACTTTGGAATACAGAGACCAACCACTTGTGGTCTGAACGTAAGAATATAAAACTACTAACTAAAACTCTAACAAAAACTAACTTTGGATTAATATACAAGTGCCTAACTTTAAGATTGGCCGTTATTTAACAAAATCCGTATGTAGTACAGAGAGCTGCTAAAACTACAATACGTTTGAAATTATCAAGAGGACTAAACCCTCTGGCCTTGAAGGCAACCAGCAACCGAGTATAACTACTATGGCAAGCGGCCTGCTTCTAATAACTCCTTCCTCTCTCTTGCTTGGCAAAAAGCCACAACTTAAGTACTTGGTGTTAGCAAGACAAATTTGCATAAATAAGTTAAAGCTTTTAATTCTGGCCGGAAGTAGAAAATAAGAAGTGATAGTAAAGATTTAAAATAAAATAAACGTTAGTAAAACTTACGATCCTTACAAAGTAAACACGCGAAAATATTAGTAATAAAAAGAGAAAAAAAGTTTTGTAAATCATCTTGGTAAGAAAACTGAATATTCATATGATGAAATGAGAAAAGACATAAAAAAAACAGAAATATGTATGCCAACATTTAATGCTGCATCGGGAATTCTAATGTATACTGCTATGCTGCTTTTACATCGTTTGCAATTTGCTACTGAATTATATATGGTGTAAGTGCGAACAAAATGATGCTTAATAATACAGCTAAAAAGCCCCCCTCCTCCGAAAAAATGGGTTAATAGGAGTGAGTGTAACAGCAGACTAGTAGACTCTGAGCCCAAAGAGTGCGTAAGAAACCTCGACAAACCCTATTAGCCGACCGTTAATATCTGAAACCTTTCAGATTTTTTCATTTCTATTTATGTTTTAGAAACATACAAACTACTTTAACTTATTACCCCGCTTGCTTGTTTATTGCAAAGCACTCGAAGGAAAGAATATTTATACAGAGAAGTATTTTCAGCGAAAGTGGCTCGTTTTCATGTTATACCAGAGGGAACCCATGAAAACGCCAACACAGCTATTTTGTTTGCAGCAGCCGGTTCGACACAAAAATTTTATAATTTAGCCTTATTTGTAAAAATTAAAAACTGAGCATTTTACACTGATGTTAAAAATTAAAGGGTAGTTATAAAAATAATAGTAATTATTCAAATACTGATTAATATTCCACTGAGTGTTATTATTTATAGTGGTCATACGTTTCTGAACAAAAAACTAACAGTAGGGTTTTTTTTTTTTTTTTTTGTTTTTTTTTTGTTTAGTTATCTCAAACTGTGTTCCTTTAAATATTTAGTAGGAACTACGTCCTATTAGACCTATGTAGTAGGCAGTACTAGATACTAGGCATATGCCTAGAAAATACTCAAATGAGGAGAAGATGAAGAACATGAAAAAATCATAAAAGTAAACATATCGAATTAACAATTAACAACATATCCAATTTATAATTAAACGTGAAACTTTAAGTTTGAGAAAAGTCAGAATTAATCTGTCTGAACCACTTATGTGAAGCTTATAAATGGTGAGTAGTCAGAAGCTTCTGGTTCCATATAGATGTTTCAAACACATATTTTGACTATTCTAGAGTGCAGAATTCCCTAAAGTGTGATGCTTAGAATCTGGAACCGTTTACAGCCAAAATTATAATTAATCTTCTTGCTGATCAACATCATTGTTTACAGCATCTAAACAACGTTATTTGCCTTTTCTGGTATTGAAAAAGAGTAACAGCTAGACTGTTAATCTAGGATCACACAGCAGCCGTGGTATTCGAATAACCCTATAACAGCCTTATTGGTGGATGCAGTGTCTCATCCGTATGCCTCTGGGCTGTTGCAGACCTTCTAGATATATATCGAGGTGCAACCGATAGTCGTAATTTCTTTACAAACGGTATGCTGTCATCATGAAAATAAAGTCTTTTATAGACATTAGATGGATGATTGCATATTCCTATCTCTCTCCATACGAAATTATGTCCAAATTTACTATTCAAGCTAAATCCGAATACACCCGTGAGCAATATTTACTATTCGGATCCAATCAAAGAGACTTCATTGATGGTGAAGAAATACTCTTTTCTGGAAAATGCAGAAAGTGAAATACAAAGCAGTAGTTTTCAGTCATAGAGACCATGCTGACGAAATCTTCGCTAAGCAAGAGGTTTATTTACCCAAATAAATTAGTGTGCGTGCTGATTTCATACCATTGCAGTTCGTTCCCCAAGAGAACTGACTGAAAAGCCTTGGATATGCCACACGTATTAAAATTAGTTTTATAGGGTACAGCTAATCTCAGTTAGAGATTAATACAAAGCTTTGATTGCAGACTTAAGGTACTTGATGGAAGAGGAAATTTATTTCAACCACATTCTCTGGCTGATTAGAGTTGACACGATTTGAAGAAATAAAGATTTATTCTTGAAAGAATATGAATCAACAATCTTTACAAATTATTTTGAGAGATTAAATTATTTCGTATTTCTAAGAGATATATTACATATCCTGCATAAATAGATGCAAAATGACAATAAGGGGATAGCCTTATTAAAAAACTACATGAGCATTAGTTTTAACAGCGTAATTCATAACTAATACTACAAATCGTTTTTCAATTATTCTGGCTTTGCAGTTGTTCTAGGTTTAAAAACATTTCATTTTAAATTATTCATTTTCGTCCTGCAGATTTTGTTTTGCCTGTGGATTTACATATATAAATTCTGAAGGATGAGAGAAAATATAACTACAATCAGTTAACAGAAACATTTTATTCATATTTACAAAGCATCCTCTGTCCTTGGAGTAAATTTCGATGCCTTTTGTGGAAACCTGGAAAAAACTTGAAGATTTCCTTTTTTCGATAAGGTAGGTACTTGAAATATGATTTGACCGGGTCTTGTTAAGAAAGGTAGAGGATACTGGACAATGGTCGGACGGACATGAAAGACTGCATTTGATACTAAGGAAGAACTAGCAGCTGGAGTAAAATTCCCTGGGGAGATTTTGATAGGAACTGGTATTTGCTTTGCTGAACCTTGTGTGGCTAAGAAGGAAAAAGTGCAATGGAATATTTTCAGTAACTTTTTTAATAAATTCATTATAATATGAAAGCGTCTTAATAAAAATAAAAGAATGGAAATTGAAAAATACTAACTCTTGAAAGCGCTGTAAAAGTAGAAGAATAAAAAATAGATTGTTTCACACTGCTGGCCGCCGTAAATGCAACACTCTGAGGAAAGCATGCAAATAACATGAAATTTACAACATGCATTAGCGGAGGTGAGATATGCAAATGATTAGAATTTCAGTGGAGACGCACATCACGCGAGCCTGTAGCGCCACTTCAAAGCGCTATTTAAGGCTTGGAGTTTTCGACGATTTCAAGTTCGGCAATTGTGTTTTTCTTGTGGTTTAAAAAAAAAAAAAAAAAAAAAAAAAAAAAAACGATTAATTATGCTTCGTAGTAAACAGCGATCATCGTTTGATCAAGTATCCGAGTTCGACAGAGGAAGCATAGTGGCCTACCGAAAGTATGGATTATCTTTCAGGGAAATCGATAATCGTGTTGGACGAAACCAAACAACTGTAATGCGGATATGTGACCGTCGGATGCAGGAGGGTACGACGGACCGACCGTTTGATTGCATCCACCTCAGTGCACCACTTCACGTGATGACAGGAACATTGTGCATATGGCAGTGACGGATCGCTCAGTCACATCACAAACCATAGCACAGCACATTCAGTCTGTAACGCATCATCCAGTGTCTGCGTGTACCATTCGACGCCGTTTACAGCAGAGTGGTCTGTCCGCAAGACGTCCATTGCTTCGTCTACCCTTGACGCAGAACCACAGACGTCTCCGCCGCCAATGGTGCGATGAAAGAAGAATATAGACGGTAGAATGGAATGAAATTGTCTTTACTGACGAGTCACGCTTCTGTCTGCAACACCACGATGGTCGGATTCGAGTCTGTAGACATCGTGGAGAGAGGATGCTGTACAGCTGCGTTATGCACCACCACGCTGGTCCTGCACCGGGTATTATGGTACGGGGCGGTATTGGATATCACTCTCGGACTCTTCTAATATGCATTGCATTGCCGGTACTTTAAAAAGCCAGCGCTACATCTCCGAAGTGTTGTAGCCAGTTGTCCTTCCTTACCTTCAGGGCTTGCCCACAGCCATATTTCAACAGGATAATGCGTGACCCCACGTGGCACGCATTGTCCAAGGGTTCTTCGTCAATCGCCAGATTTAATTGCTTCCCTGGCCGGCTTGCTCTCCGGATCTTTCGACGATAGAAAACATGTGGTCTATGGTTGCTGAACGATTGACACAGATTACATACCAAGTTTCCACACCAGATTTTTTTGGATGGTCGGCAACGCCGAAGTGCTTGTTGCGTGGAAAGTGTGTGGCTAGTATTTTAAAGACTTTTAAATCTGTGTAAATTGCTTGTGTTGATTTTTGAGTGTGTTCTTTGCATTGGTTATGTTCTCCGCTATCAAGATATATCAAGTTTCGTGCAAGAAAGTGCATATTTAAGTTTTTATGAGTGTTTTTCGAAATCGACCTTGCTGAAACGCCCACCTGGCATGGTCGGGTAAGTTTATATGCATTATTCGTTAAATATTGTGTGTAAATATTATCTGATTGAAGAATTCTGTTCGGTATACTTGTATCTTACTGTAATATTAAATGCACAATCTTATCTTGCACATTTATTGAGATATTGAACTCTGAAATCTTGAGTGTGTACGAGGCCTAACGTGGAGGACATTGTTTACATTGCATGTAGATGTTCGTAAAGTATAGGAAAATCATTTGGTGCACCATTATATGAAGTATTTCTTCCCGGTGGAAGACAAGGTCCGAGAACGTTTTAATGCACTGGATTTTCTAGTCTTTCCGCACGCTGGTCAATTTGTTCAATTTGGATGCCAGAACTTTAGTTTTTACTTTAAAAATTATTTTGAAGTGTTTTAAGACTATTTTATTCTTCAGAATTAGATTTTTTGAATTTTATTGAGAATTTTAAGAAGATATTGATTGAGCTAAATGTTTCTTATATATTTTTAGTGTTTTTAGTGTCTCCCTTACCACAGTTGTTAGAATTTTATTATATTACTCTTATTGTCTATTTATAAACATGGGTGTGAAAGAGATAGTGAAATGTCGAATATAATTAAAGAATTCTATAGGATTATTGATGAATTAAAAACGAAGCGAGTACCCAAGGATTTAATTTCTGAGTTAAATACTCAGGTTGAGGCAGTTGTGAAATGGGCACATACGTCTACGCTTAAGATTATGGAATTAGATATGCGTAAGAGTAGTGAGGAGACTCTTTTAAAATTCAAAGAGGAGATAAAACAAATGATTGATGAAAGACCGGATAGTAGGAGAGATAGAGAAGTTTGATGATCAAAGAAATAATGATAAAAAGAAAAACAGTGAAAAGAGATCTAGGGCTAACGATTTGATTATAAGACCAGTTGATAAAGATGTTGATGTCTATATGATGAACTTAATGCTGAAACTCCAACCACAGGATATAGGTGTTAAAAGTTTTAATACTTTTAGAAAGAAAAATGGTGATATGATTATCAATTTAAAAGATAGGTCAGATATACTTGCTGTTGAAAAAGCTATTACGGAGAATCCGAAAATTAAACACACTTATTAGGACTCGAAGGAATAAGTTTATTAAGCCGAAGGTTATTTTGTATAATTATTAGTGATTCCGTTGAAGAAGACTTGGTTTGAAAAGATTTAATGAATTTTGTGTTTGTGATGGGAAGTTCGGATCCTTATTTCGTATTTAAAACTCAAGAACATGGAGTTTCACATAGGATTTTTGAGATTTCTGCTAGGTGTCAGCAAGATATCCTTGAAGGGAATAGAGTTATGATTGGTTGGAAAGTATACCCTGTAAAATTATTCATTCAACCTAAGCGTGCATGAACTGTCTTAGATTTGGGCACACCCAAGAAGAATTGTAAGTTTGAAAGGGTTTGCTCTGCATGTAATGGTAGACATGAGAGGAAAATTGTCATAGTGAAAAGAAAGAATGTATCAACTGTAAAGAAGCTTTAGATAGATATGGTATTAATGTGGAATATGACCACGATCCCTTTTGGAGAGAGTGAGGGTCCCTCGATTATAAGAGAGAAAAAAATTTATTCGGGAACATTTAGATCTAGAAACTTGAGGTGATTTAGCTTCTGCGGGGGGGAGATTTTGATTTTGATTTTACAATTTAAACTTTTATTTATTCCTGTGGCTACGAATTAATAATTTTACGGCTTTTAACATTGTGTGAAATAAAGACTTTTGAACTATTGTGTAATTTATTTCTAAAAGAAGACTTCTAGGAAAGGATATAATTGAAAATCTTGGAAGAAACTATACCCTTGCCTCCCAGGTAAGTTCAGGATAATTATTGCTGATTTTAACTGTATATATCGTTTTTAAACTGTATATATTGGATTTTAAATTATAATTATTATATTGAATGGTTTTATTTGGGATCCTTTTAATTATGCACATTTTAAATTGTAATCTTAATCATTGTAATGCTGCGGCATGCCGGCTCTCTGCAATAGATAATATTTCTGAGGATATCCCTGATATTGTTACAGTTCAAGAACCTTATTATATTGGAAAGAAAATGGCTTATATTAAAAACAGTTGGAGGACCATCCATGCAGATACAGGAAGAGCTGCTATTGTTGTCGTAAACCCTGGGATTGAATTCATAGTTAAACACGCTTCTGATATTATCGTTGCCATTGAAATACAGAAAGAGGGAAGGAATTATGGTGTGATTTCAGTTTATTTTTCCCCTGTGGAATGTTTGAATACGTATCTTTTAAAATTAGAAGAAGTTATATCTGTTTTTAAAGACAGTTTTATTATTATTGGAGATTTTAACTCAAAGAATTTTATTTGGGGGGCTAAGAGTCTTGATGAAAGAGGGGTTTTAACTTCAGATTTTATCATTTTAAATGATTTGATTTTATTGAATAAAGAAAATTCTAGACCCACCTTCTCTTCTGCATGTGGAGATGGATATATACGGATTTGGTGTGTGTTTCTCCAAATTCTCTTATTGAGAACTTTGACATGCAAATATTGGAGGAAAATTCCCTTAGCGATCATAACTATATTTTGATAAGTATAAAGGATGTTAGTATTAAAGATAAGAGGGATATTATTCTGTCAAATAATGTTAAAAGAATTGATAGATGTTGCGTTAAGATGAGAAGGTTTATTTTTGAGATTGAAGACCGTATTGTCAATACGAAGGATGCTGGGGAATTTAATGATTTAATTTTGTATATATGGAGAAGCGAATTGAAGAAAGAATGAGAAGAGATTTAAAGTGTGAGATACGACAACGTAGTGGTACTGCTTGGTGGAATTATGAGCTGAATACTCTTAGAAGGAGAGTCAGGGCTATCCGCAAGAGTTGCCAGGTGAAAGACTTGGATGATGAAACTAGAATACGAAGAAAAATAGAATATAAAAAATGTTTGGCTTTTTATAAAAAGAAAATTAAAAAGGTGAAGGGTGATTTCAGAAATAGGGCTTTTATTCAAGACAAGGAATTTTACGAAGGAAATTTTAAGGTTGCTACGAATAAAATTAAGAAACAGATTATATTACGAGATAGTGATAATAGAGCGGCTACGGATGTAAAGGAAGAATATTTGAAAATTGTTAAAAAGACACTGAATATTGAAACTGATGAAATTGATGATCCTGATAATAATGATGATAACTTTGGTAATGACGACTTAGATGGTGAATTGGACTTTACCTACGAAGAAATACGGGAAGTCATTTTAAGTCTTAGAGACAAGAGCCGCTCCAGGATTGGATGGAATTCGGGCAAGAGTTGTAAAAAGAAGTTTGTTGTGAACTCTATCCTTCGTTTTTTATATTTTGTTTAATAAATGTTTGTCTTTGCATGTTTTTCCTATTGCCTGGAAGATTGGAAGATTAATTTTGTTGCCTAAAAATGAAGATAAATATCGCCCAATTTGTCTATTAAAGGTTTTTGCTAAGGTATTGGATAAGCTAATTGTAAATAGACTTTTATATGTCATAAATGATAACACACATCTTGCGGAAAATCAATATGGATTTAGGAAAAGAAGATCTGCTAATCTGGCACTCTTTAGGGTAGTTGATAAAATACGTAGAATAAAAAGTATTGAACATGTCGCGGTTGTTTCTTTCGATGTCAAGGCTGCTTTTGACTCTGTTCGATGGTCCTCCGTATTAAATAAATTATTTGAGCTGAAGATTACAAAAGATCTTTATTTACTTATCAGGGATTATTTTAGTAATAGAAGAATTGTTTTTAAGGGATTTTCAGAAGATTTAGATATAAATTTGGATATGTTTAAAGGCTGTCCGCATGGATCGTGTAGTGCTCCCCTGTTCTGGGCCCTAATAGTTAATACTCTCCTTGTGGATTTTGATGTTTCTAATGCAGAAATAATTTGTTATGCAGATGATATTCTGCTTATTATTAAGGGCTCCTCTCTGGAAAAAATACAACATACCTTTATAAAAGTTGAAGAGCAGATGTTGAAGTGGAGTAAATCTGAAAATATTTATTTTAATGTGGAAAAGACTTTTGGACTTTTCTTTCCTAGAGGGGGTGCTAGAACTAGAGCACCTAGATTGAAATTTGAGGGTAAAAATATCCGTTTTCAGAGAAATATAAAATATCTGGGTGTTATTATAGATGAAAAGCTAAATTTTATTGAACATTTTAAATCTATACATAGAGAAACTGATAGAATTTTACATTTTTATCGTAGTACTTTTAATACAGAAACTTTGCATAAAAAAGCGCCGATACTGAAGAGAATTTTTAACAGTGTTATCTTACCTAAGATTTTCTATGGAATAGGTGTTTGGGGTGCTAGGGCAGGGGAGTTGATCCGCTTGCGAGATAAATTGAATACTTTGCAGAGAAGCTGGATGCTGGCAGTTACGAGAGTCTTCAGGACAGTCTCTACAGAGGTGGTCTGCCTCCTTGCTGGTGTCCCACCCCTCTCATTCCAGTATAATTTTTATTATAAAAAATTTTTTACTTTCGAATAATTTGGTTGATCATATAGATATAAATGAATGTGTTATTAAAAGTGAAGCGTTTCTAATTTTGATGATGATTGTATTCATCCTAGTAATAAGATTTTGATTCCTTATGACTGTGCATTTCTCGAATGTCAGGAAATGAATATTTTCACAGATGGTTCAGGACTCGAGGGGGGTATTGGAGGTGCGATCGTGGTATTCTTCTATGGAATTGAAATACAAAATTGGAAATTTCGTTTAAATTCTATGAATTCTGTCTATCAAGCAGAAATGTATGATATTTTTGAAGCTCTCAATTGGATTTAAGGCACATTGAAAATTAGATATAATATAAATATTTATTCTGATGCATTGGTCGGTGCTACAGACCCTCTCGGGTCCTGAAAGTAAAAACTCTCTTGTATTTGAAATAAAAAAGACATATGCACAATTGAAAGATATACATAATATTAAGCTTCACTGGATAAAAGCACATGCAGGATATGAAGGGAATGAGAGGGGGACGAATTAGCTAAGTCTGCAGCTGTGGATGAAAATGTGATTATTAAAAATATATCCCAGACTCTAGAAGAAGGGCCACCTCTACTCTATAATTATGTATTGAACGAATGGAAAAATAATTGGGAACAATCTAATAAATTTGTGGTTTACTGAAAAAAATAAAAATTGAAAAGAAAATGAAGTTATAAAGATATAGATGCCAATCAAATGCTTACGGGACATGGACGCTTCCCTGCATATTTAAAACGTTTTGGATTGCAGGACAATGATAAATGTAATATTTGTAATGTCACTGGAGACTCTATGCATTTCTTTGAGAACTGTATTATTACTGGGAGTGCAAGGGATAGATATCAAAATATTATAGAAGTGATTTCAAGAAAATTATAAGAACTTTGTGGAATATTCTAGACAAATTATGAAGATTGTGAATAGCTCAAGAGAAGCCATAGGAATCTATGTGTGAATGGTGTTTTTGTATTGTATTTGCTTGGTTATGTGTTGTCTTATTTTTATTTTCTAACAGTTCTTTATTATTTTATTATGTTCTTTTGTGTGAATGTTTAAGGTCCAGTGATGACATGAAATTCACTGGTCGTATTTATGATTTTGTTTAGTTCTCTTTTTTCTAACTTTTTTGTTACTCGGTTCCTGGGGCTTTTGGTTTCCCGGGATTCATAGTTTAATATTTTATTTGTTTGTTTTTCTTTGTTAGTTTTTTGAGCACGGCCGGGTCTCTGGCCCCTCATTTGTTGTTAGATGGGCCGGCCCTTGTGATAAGTCATATGACGAGGTGTTCTTGGTTGGGTGGGCTGAGGGCTGCGCCCCCGTTAATTCACCAGATCAACTTTTGGCAACGTGTGGAAGCTGCTTGGTCTGCTGTACCCCAAGAACACATCCAAAGTCTCTTTGAATCAATGCCGAGGCGTGTGACAGACGTGATCTCCAACAATGGCGGCTACTCTGGCTACTGTTTCTTAAAGGAACCACACTTCACAGAAGTCTATAAATTTAATTATTTGATACTTGGTGAACATGTTATCTACTAAATAAATTTTGTTATGATATCTCTTGTCTTTCTTAGTGTTGCAATTTGGATGGCCAGCAGTGTATAAAACATTAACTCTTATATTAATTTAAAATGTATTTTAATTAAAATATTTGTATATCAAACAAGACCATCATGAGTATTTATACGTATGGCAGAATTCCCATATTAAATAGGGGCTATGTGAATATTCAATAGCGATAGAATTCTCATATTAAATAGTAGCTACTTCTTAGGTTTATTAATTGAGAACAGAACTAAATAAATATGTTTTTAGGAAAGCATTTATTGGAGTGCTTCAAATAAAAATCGGAGATCTTTGAACAACTTCTAAGCAACATGATTCAAATTTATTACGTTTTATATTTTAGAGTTTCACTCCCTAACTAACGTAATCTCTTGAATCCTCCTAAGATTTCCAGGAGAGTCGTCGCCTTTTCCATGGAAAAATAACCAAGACCGAAGAAGGATAAACAACCTTTTTATCTAAAACTTTAAACTGAATAGATGCACGGATTGCCCTTGCAATTTAAATATCCGCAACCTGCGGAATTTCAGACAACGTAGATAATGAATTAAATTTCAAAGTAAAATTAAGGCTTCAGATCACAGTACAAAAACCTAAAAAGCGTTGGTTTAGTCTATATTCGAGTGCACGTGGGAATTCTGCTAGCAAAAAGACTAACGCCGGCAAACTGCATACAGAAAGCTTAATTAAAAAGGCCATAAAGCCAAGGGTATGTATTTCATTGTTTTCACAGCAAAAGAGGGATCGCTTAAACTGGTACAAAGAACAGCAGAACTGGCGTGAACACCAATGGTCATATATTCTCTTTACTGATGAGTTGAAGTTTAACATCTGACTCTGGACGTGTTTATATCTGGAGGGATTCAGACACGTGCTTATGTTAGAAGGCAAAATCTTCCTTCGATAACTGTGGAACGAGACAGTTTCGATAATGTACGTATGATGGTATGGGAAGAAATCATGATCGATGAAAGTTTTCAACAGCGGATCTGTGACCGGCAAGATATCGGGATGAGGTCTTAAAATATTATTTAAGATTTTTCAGAGGTGCATATGGATCTGATTTCTTATTTATGGACGATAATTTTGTATAAATAGAGCAGACCTTGTTCATGAATTCCTTGAAAGTAAGGATATTGGGCGAATACCGTGGATAACAAAATTTTCCTGATAGAGTTTATTTTAGAAAAACTGTTGCACAAATGCGTCTCCTCCACTTAGAGATCTAAATAAAATATATAATAATGATATAAGACAGCATTGCCTGAGAAGTGGAACGTAATTTTGAAAACTGTGGTTAACAGCATTATTGCCAGAATGAAAACACTTAGTGACATTTGTGTGCAAATCAGGGGAGATGACGTTGCATCTTAAATTCATAAGGCTTACTTTTTTTTTTTAAATTATTCTTTTTTTTTTCCTCTGAACTCTCTTTATAACATGTTATTACTATTTTTATTTTTTCATGATACAGTTTTATATAATATGCAGCGCTCTTAAATTTTTTCCTTTTTATTTGTGTGTTGTTATGTTATGTATCATTTCACACAAATTCATAAAATTATAGTTCACTGTTTCTGAGTGCTTTCATGTTTGTAAAAATAATTTTGGACATGAATGTAAATATCGGGTTACAATTCTCAATGAATGAAAATATGCATATGTTTCAAAGGATATTTCATACATAATAACAAAGTTCACAGTAGACTAAAATCGTGTTTTTCTAGTTAAAGTTATTAAAAATGCAGGATACTGTAAAAACTTTGGGAAACAGTTAAAGAAAAAATAATTAGAAATAAAAGATATTTAACTTTCAGAAGTCAATTTTTTAAATCAAATATTTGAAGAAATTAAGAATAGCCTAACAAATATTATTCTATAAAATAATAATAACACTAATAAAAGAGTTTATAATTTGCATTTCTATTTGTAAATCTTTGCTTAAATGCCATTTTATAAGAAACTTACTGTAGGCTTCCTGAAGACCACTTGGAGGAGGTTGGACAAGCCACAGAGCGTCTCCTGTATTTTGATTTGATGTGCCAGGCTCATTAGTCTTCACAATTGCTCTGAATCCATTGTCGTCGGCTACGTATTCGACTGCCCGATAGACTCCGAAAGGATCGAGGTAGCCGTAAGCTCCTTTCACAGTTCCTTTTGCATCAGCTATTTCCTTCCGGTGCTGAGTTGTACCTTGCCCATCATTGGATTGGTAAGCAAACTCGAAGGGTTGGAAAGCCTGAAACTGTTTTTCAGTATGCACATTGTAAAAAACAAAATATCTATTTACTTTCAGTTCTTCAAAAGATTAATAAAGTTTAAAAATAAGGTTGCATGTTATTTTATAGTAAATTTCCGTTTTTATTTTTGAGAAATAACTGTTACTTAGATTGTACAAAAATGATTGACGTAACGGGTCTCACAACGAAACTATTACACTATGCGAAGGGAAAATACGTGAAATAGACACAAGGGGGCGTGAGCTACTCAGAATGCTTAGATGGCGCTGGCCGTAAGTTGAACGAAGTCAGCAACCGTCCCTTTCGCTGTCGTCACTGAGAACGTGGACAGCAATGATAAAAGGTGATTATTACGGTCAGCGTTGGACAGCGTGATTCCTATGGAAGGAAGGGATACAGAGTAGTGAGAGCCATCGTCACATGGTGTCGGGGTGCGGGAACAAAGCGTTCTCAAGGCGTACCGTATTCCGATGGTTGGCCAAGTTCAGCAGTGGAGTGGAGACCGTATCTAAAGGTGTCCGCGCGGGACGACCGGTAACATCGCATATAGCAGCAAATGTGGCAGCTGTGTTGGATTTGATCATGGCAAACAGGCGCATCATGTTCAACAAGATACAGAAAAAGACGGGGCTTGCGCAAGGTTCATTGCAGGCGATTGTGCATGGTGATTTGGAGATGACAAATGTGTGTGCGAAGTGGGTGGACTTCGAACCAAGACCTCGGACTACTCCTTGCTTGACAACATGAAGGACGCAGTTAGGGGTCAACATGTTGAATCTTCTGCCGAATTGCATGCAATTGTCCATAGGTGGTGCATCAACACCCCCACAGACTGATTTACCAAAGCCCTTCGATACCTCCCAGCCAGATGGCAGAAGTGTATTGACATGGGCGGGGATTAGTCCGGACTGATGTACTATCAGTTTTTTGTTAATAAATTGTATTTCACTTTGTGGCAGCATTTGCGTCATTCATTTCTATGCAAAATGCCGCACTTTTAAAAAATTCAGTTGACGGTGTGCTTAAAAATCATAATTCATCGAAGAACAAATTGTAGAAGTACAAGTAACAATTTCATACTGAATTATAAAATATCTTAAATAAATTATTTTGCTACAAAACCGAAATTTTAAATTGTTTAAAAAATGCTAACATTAATTCTTCTCGAATTAACTGATTTCAGCTGAGTTTTAAAGCATTCCTCTGTGTTTAATAAATATTAGTAACTTCACTTTTGTGTTTAATGTTATCGAGGACTGTTATTATATTTCAGTATTAATTGTGTTATGAAGAGAAAGCAAATATAAATTCAATTTCCTAAGATAAAAAAATACTTTTGTAAAGATGATTCCTGAAAAGTGCCTAATGTTTTTTAATGTTTCTGTAAAAATTGTAAGTGATTTATACTTGATTTTTATGTAGAGAGAAAACATTAAATTACAAGAAGATAACGATTTATTTTCTCTATTGCCATTTTTAATATTTTTTTTTTATTTTTTTATTTCGAAGAAATTTGTAAAAAATTTTTAGTCAAATAAAAATTTAGCAATTAACATTCTACCGTCTTTATTACTGAAGTTTATTTATTTCTCGACTTATTAATAAAAGTGAGAGGGATTACGTAAATTTTAGCTCCTCACTCGAGCATAACATTTTGTAAAATTTTTTAAATAATCAAGCATTTAAAATGGCAATTAAATCATTATATAAGAAATCTGATTCTAGCTTCAACTTCAGGTTTCGAAACATATTCCTTCCTCTCACCTTCTCAGTAAAGTGAAAAATCATTGGTTGAAAATATGTTGTAGTAAAACAAAACGTTTTGAATTGAAAAAATGTGGAAAATTATTAATTAATCGCGTATGTATGACCACAGTCAAAGCACAACAGTCCAAAGTCTAGTTTGAAAACCATAGCCAAAGAATGACATCCTAGGATTAATAATATAAAAGAGTCAAGGATATATTTTATATAACACAGTAATAGATAGTAATAGATATTAGATAACATTGTCGCGTTTGCTTACTAGAACTTTACTTCCACGAACGCCCTCTGGCGAAAGAGACAAAAAGTAATCAGTTGAACGGCTGACGCGTCTAACAGATGTATAACGACAGACCGTCTCCGTATAAATTATGCTTGTAATTATTATAACTTGTAAATATTTTGTAGATATCTTTCATACGAATTAAAATTTCTTAAAAAGTTTATAGCTGTGTTCGTCAGTGAATCGAATTTCATCATAGAGACGGATACCGACAAGAAGGAAAGAAGGCAGTTCAGGGCAGCCCTATTTAGAAGGTAAGTGAACTTTCACTTATCTATTTAATGATCAAAAAATTTTAATAGTGCAAAGTTGATAAAATTTTTAACATGGCGCCCGAACAGGGACTGCCAGTAACTGCTGTTTTCCTAACTATTGAAACTGTCTAAATTGATATCAGTGATATAGATAATACATAAGCATAAATAATTAGTGAATTGCTGATACTTGTTGAATTGAATTTAAATAATGACGGAATTCATCGATACATTGAAAAGGAAACGCGGCCACATAAGGGCTGCCGTTACAAAATTAATTGGCCGAATCGAAACTGAATTACCAAAAACAGAAGTGAATGCAGAGGAACTAGAAATTTCCTTAGAACTCTTAAATGAAAAATCGAACGAGTTAAAACAAATAGATGCCGATATAGAAAAATTAATAGACACATAAAGGATCTAGACCAGGAATTAAACGGTGTTGACGAATATCGTGAAAGAATAACTACATTTAAATACAAAGCTAACAAAAAATTGAAAGAAATTAATATAGAACAACAAAAATTTAATTTAGTGTGTTACGAAGCACTGAACAGTTAAGTGAAAGTATTATAGAAAACGTTAAAATCGAAAGTCATAATGTGAAGCTTCCTAAACTTACGATTCCGAAGTTTTATGGCGAGAGCTGCGAATGGCTGACATTTTGGAACACTTTTTCATCAGCCATACACCAAAATAAAACGCTTGACGCTATAAGCAAATTTAATTATTTGAAATCCTTTTTGGGAGGTACTGCTTATAACACCATTGACGGTTTCGATTTAACCGAAGAAAATTACGAAACTTCAGTTAAACTCCTCACAGAAAGATTTGGAAATAAAGATGTACTGATAAACGCCCATATAGATAAATTACTGAAAATAAGACCTCTAAAAGATTCTAATGACATTCAAAATTTCCGTAAGTTATTCAATTATATACAGAAACATATTCGATGTCTTGAATCATTAAATATGACCTCAGAAACATATGGAGCTTTATTAACACCTATTTTGCTTAAAACATTGCCCGCAGATTTGGTTTTGGAGTATAATAAAACAGTTCGAAAATCAAATTACGATTTGAATCACCTAGTGGAATTTCTTTCTGAACAGTTAGTTGCGCGGGAACGTACATTCCAGACGGTCCAGCCAAAGGCGGCGCCGCAAAAGCATAACAAACTGAGTGAACCCAGACCTATTGCGAAACACACAGCTTCGGAGTTAACGAACGCAAGTTTGCGGGGGGGACAAACACCATGTGTTTTCTGCGACTCTTCTGATCACGAGTCTATAACGTGTAAACAAGCATCTTTATGGTCTACTGAGAAAAAAAAGGGAGAAATGCAAAGCGAAAGGGAATCTGTTATCGCTGTTTACACCCACGGCATCTTAGTTTTTAATTGCACTTCTAGAATAAGGTGTGAATTATGTAAACAACGACATGCCACTATAATGTGTTTTAAAAACCGAAAACGGAGAAATTAAGGAAGAACAAATTGAAAATAAGGCCTTAACGAATAATTCATCCTATGAAAGTGTAATCTTGCAAACTTTAATTGCCAATGTTTACGGAGATGGTGTGAAAGCAATTTTATACGAATAATTCTGGATACCGGAAGTAGCAGATCATATATCAGCACATTTCTTGCGGAGAAATTAAAACTAAAATCTTTAGGTCAGGAAAGTGTGACTCATGGGCTTTTTGGAGGAATAGAAAAAAGGGAAAATCACAACAAGTATCTGATTAAGTTAAATAATCCAGAAACAGGATTCACATGCGAAATGGAAGTTTTGAGCCAAAAAACCATATGCTCACATATTCCAAAATTGGAGGATAGGGAATGCTTAAAGAAACTAAGAGGTTACAAAATTTTTCCCAGTGATGTAACTAATGAGAATTCTTGTTTATTTGAAAAACACCCTAACGAAATACACGTGCTTGTAGGAGCAGATTATGTCGGAAAACTCTTTACAGGGGAAATAAAACACGTAACGGAGAGTTTAGTAGTGATGAATACACACCTTGGTTGGACTATGTTAGGGAGACCGAAGGTAAAGGGAAAGAATTTTAATGAAGTTCTTTTATCACTACACATTAGTGACAGAAAAATTTGTGACTTGTGGTCTCTTGATTCTATCGGAATAACTGAACCAGCTCTTTCGCAAACAAAACAAGAAATAGAAAAGGCTACAGAAAATTATTTTATCCGTACTTTAGAAAGAGATGACGCTGGAAGATATCAGGTATCACTTCCATGGCTTCAAATTCATCCTGAGTTGCCAGATAATAGAATCCTTGCAGAAAAGCGTCTGAAGTCTTGCGTGAAAACCCTTCAGACAAAGAATTCCTTAGAAGCCTACGAAACTGTTTTAAAGGATTGGGTAGAAGAGGGAATAATTGAACCTATCGATATTTCGGAGGCAGAAAAGATCAAAGGGCATTATCTGCCACATAGAGCAGTGTTTCGGGAAAATTCGACTACCAAAATTCGACCAGTGTTCGACGCATCTGCAAAGGAGAAAAATTCGGTATCTCTGAACGACTGCCTGGAAAAGGGTCCTAATTATCTTGAATTGATCCCCAAAATTTTGACAAAATTTCGAGAGGGGAAGTATGGAGTAATTTCGGATATAAAAAGAGCATTTCTTCAGATAGGTGTGAACCCAGCGGATCGAGATTTTCTCCGGTTCCTATGGTGGGA